GGAGGCAAAAAAAAAAAAAAAAAGCCTCCCATGAGGCGCAACATGAATAGTTTCTAAAATATCATCAATTACAAAAGCTTCAAGAGAATCCCTAGCTTTCCAAGCTGCAAGGCATTTTGTATTCAAAATTATCCCTAATAGCAGCAGCCATCAATATTCACCTTAACTTTGCTTACCGAAGGACAATATCATTCGTTTTGGGCATTATAACCTTGGCTTCTTTACTCTACACTTGGTATTTTGATCGTTTTAGGAACACTCTCGCCATAGCTTCTTCCATTACATCTTGAACCCGAACCGCCCCTCTTCTCCATTTTTTATTTTGTAGTCTGATTCAACAGAGTACAATCTCCCATTATCCTAATGCCAAACATAACAAACCATCCATTTTATTCATTCCAATAGGATATGCTCCCAATGACCTCTCTGTGAGGACGGAGCTATGCTAAATTAAGGGTAGACGACCATCCCACCTGAAATAGTATTTTTTTTTCCTTTCAATTTTAAATCTGAAATCCGTACATTCTGGTGGAGACGACCATCTCACCTGAAATAGTACATTCTGGTGGAGATAAAGCCGTTCCAGATTTATGTCTGATCTCAACAAACCCGCAACGGTTCAAAAATGGATAAAAAAGAAGACAAAGCAGTCGGTATAGTTAAGGTTCCAACAGCCGGGCCGAGAAAACAAGGTTTATTATACAATAGAAACAAATGAAAAGTTTGATCCGCGCCAAATGCTACTAATACATGTTCACACTGGTTCCGGTCATTATGCCAAGGTGGAGCTTGGTTTAAAGGCATGGGAGCAATCGGCAACCTACACTCTATTTCATCCCAACACAACGCAGTGTCTAGATGGATATTGGTCCAACCTAGAGGCAGTAGCGATGAACTAGAAAGAATAGGATTATTAAAGCTAACACAATGAGAAATCAGTAGTTCAAAAGAAACGGTGGACTGGTAAATTCGTGATAACGTGTTGAAAATGTACTCTATTTCCAAAAATTAACCTTCAAAAAGGGCGCAGAATATAAATTTCCATAATATGCATAGCTGCTATCTATCTATTTATGGCCCCCAGGACCTGAAACAATTCAACACCATAGATTTTGGAAGGCAAGATAAGTAATCATGTTAAAATATCAAGAACAAGTGACCAACTGCAACCTTAGACTCAAGAACCGAAACTAATATCCTACTCAAACAATTCCATCAGCTTACTGCTATCGTTAGAAGTTGAAAAAGTACATCAAGAGAAAAGGTAATTGTAGAAATAAGGAAAGTAGGATATTTGGCCTTGTTTCCCATTTAAACCGGGGAAAATTAGATCCTATAGCTCAGAAGTGTGTTTTTGTAGGCTATGCTCCACACCAAAAGGGGTATAAATGCTATGATATGAGAACAAGAAAAATATTTGTTACTTTAGATGTAACCTTCTTTGAAGATCAACCATTTTTTGATAATCATCGTCATGGGGAGAGCATAAGTGAAGATTATTCTGATTTTCTTGATTTCCTTGGCACATCTGATAATGTTCAAAGTCCAAATTTCTTAATAAATGTGGAACCTAGTGATTTGATTAATGAGAACTTGGATGCTGGAACTATAGAGCCATCTCATAATATTAGTAGACATGGAAATAATGAATAAGCAGGTACAAAAAAGCTACTTGTCTACTAGAGAAAGGCACCGGAAGCAAGGAAATAAGACTGACACCTCCCAACATTATCAAGAGTCTACACCTCAGATCATTCAGAATTCTATTGATGTTCAAGGTAATCCTCATAAAGCCCCCACTCACATAAATCTTCCTCATCAAGAGTCCAGTCAGTCCATACCTACTCCTATAAATCCTCTACATTAAGAGTCTGCACTTGTGTTTGAACTTGACCTTACAATTGCTCAACGTAAAGGTGTCAGAAGTTGCGTCAAGTATCCAATGTCCAATTTTGTTACCTATAAAAATATGTCCCCAGTTTTTTCTGTGTTTGTCTCACAATTATCTAGTGTGGAGATTCTAAAAAATGTATAAGATGCTCTAGAGGTTCCTAAATGGAAGGAAGCTATTCTTGAAGAAATGAGGGCTCATGAAAAAAATGGAACGTGGCAGGCAATGGAGCTGCCGAAGGAAAGGAAGACAGTTAGCTGCAAATGGGTGTTCACAACCAAGTTTAAATCTGATGGATCCTTAGAAAGATACAAGGCTCGCCTGGTGGCTAAAGGGTTCGCTCAAACGTATGATATTGACTACCTTGAGACCTTTGCACCCGTGGCAAAGATGAATACTGTCATAGTGCTTTTAACAATTGCAGCTAATCTAGACTGGCGACGTCAACAACTAGATGTGAAGAATGCATTCCTCAATGGCGACTTAGAAGAAGTCTATATGGATCCACCTCTAGGTTTTGAGAAGAAGTTTGGCTCAAAGGTATGCAAACTAATAAAATCCCTGTACGGCTTAAAACAGTCACTGAGAGCCTGGTTTGAGAGGTTCACTCGGTTTGTAAAAAAACAAGGATATGCTCAGGGACAGGTAGACCACATCAAGTTCACAAAGTACTCAACTGGTGGGAAGATAGTTGTTCTTATAGTTTATGTTGATGACATTATTCTTTCTGGGGATGACGTGACAGATTTAGAGCGGTTGAAGCAGTGCCTAGCCTCTGAGTTTGAAATCAAAGATATGGGTTCACTAAAGTATTTTCTTGGTATGGAGATAGCTCGGTCAAAAGGGGAATTGTGGTGTCTCAAAGGAAATATGTGGTGGATTTACTTAAAGAAACTGGAATGAATGGATGTCGTTCTGCCGAAAGACCCATTGATCTGAATCATAAGTTTGGGAGCAAGGAAGGAAAACCGGTAGATACAACTCAATATCAAAAGCTAGTGAGAAAACTAATTTACTTGTCACATACACAGCTAGACATAGCATTTGCCGTGAGCCTAGTAAGTCAGTTTATGCATTCTCCTCATGATGAACATCTTGAAGTAGTCCACCGTATCCTTAGATACTTGAAGAATTCTCCGGGAAAAGGCTTATTTTTTGGAAAGAACGAGCAGCGAGGTGTTGAGGCCTACACAGATACAGATTGGGCAAGGTCAATTTCAGATAGGAGGTCTACATCAGGCTACTGTACATTTGTGTGGGGAAACCTAATAAAGCAAAACGCAGAATGTTGTGGCTCATAGTAGTGCTGAAGCAGAGTATAGATCAATGGCACATGGAATTTGTGAAATGTTATGGCTTAAACGGATCTTGGAGGAACTAAGAAGACCAGTGACTATGCTTATAAAGTTGTACTGTGATAACAAGACAACTATTAGCATTGCCCATAACCCAGTCCAACATGATAGAACTAAACATGTTGAAATTGACAGACATTTTATAAAAGAAAAGATCGAGGCTGGAGCTATTTGTATGCCCTTCATTCCAACATCGCAACAAGTAACATATATTCTCACAAAAGGATTATTCAAACCAAGCTTTGAGTTTCTTATTAGTAAGTTGGGCATGATAAATATCTAAGCACTAACTTGAGGGAGTGTAGAAATAAGAAAAGTAGGATGTTAGGCCTTGTTTCCCATTTAAACTGGCCGATTAGGAGTTGTGAGATAGATTAGGAAAGTAGTTTATTTTTTTAAATAAAAGAGATTCCTTAAAATAAGGATCTCCTTTAATTGAGGGATTTCTATACCTAATTAGGTGGTATGTTTTCCCTATAAAAGTCGTGTAAATGTTGTACAGTTCAATAGAGCAATATACAATTTTTTCTACCCTAGAAACCTACAGTAATTATATTTATGAGTAGCACAACAAACTTCAAAGTGTTGTGACCTCCAAATAAAACTGCAGAGTAAAATTCATCTACTTATGCAATAAAAATATCTTTAGGCAAATTTAAATCTCATGACACTAAGGGGCTGTTCGGCAACCCCTTTTTTGAGTTAAAAACTCAAAAAAAGTAACTCGAGTTACAACTTTATTCAAGTTCATATTCTTTTAAGTTTGAACTCGAGTTTGGGACTAAAACTCGAGTTCAAGTTTCCCCTTCAACTCGAGTTCAGAAACTCAAACTCAAATTAATGCACAATATTTTTTCTATTCTTAAAAATGTTATGACTTTTTCGTTTTAATTCTGATTGAGATGATTTTTTTTCTATGCGTTGACAACAAAAAGATAAATAAAACCCCACCCATATACCCTATTAAAATTTTCCATCAGCATTGAGTTTTTATTAAAATACTATCTAAATTCAAATTCAAGTTTTGACTCACTCAAACACAAACTCAAAAAGATTCTTATCTCAAATCATAACTCAAATGTACACAACCAAACACAAACTCGAGTTACAACTTCAACTCAAATTATAACTCAAACTAAACTCAAAATCTATACTCAAGTCACCTAACTCAAAAACGACAAAAGAACAAGCCCTAAGTTTTTTTACATTTTTTAGTTAGGGTGATTTGAGTGATGATTTTGAGTTGAGTTTGAGTTATAACTTAAATTGAAGTTGTAACTTGAGTTTGTGTTTCGATGTGCATATTATGATTTGAACTGAGAATCTTTTTGAGTTTGTGTTTGGATTGGTCAAAACTTAAATGTGTATTTAGATAGTATTTTAATAAAAACTCAATAGTGATGAAAAATTTTAATATGGTATATGGATAAAATTTTATTCGTCTTTTCGTTGTGAATGCATAGAAAAAAATCATTTCAATCAAAATTAAAACCAAAAAGTTATGATATTTTTAAGAATAGAAAAAATATTGTTCATTAATTTGAGTTCGAGTTTATGAACTCGAGTTGAAGGGAAAACTTGAACTCGAGTTTAGCCCTAAACTTGAGTTCAAACTCAAATTTTACAAAAGAACATAAATTTGAATAAAATTATAACTCGAGTTCAAACTTTTTCTGAGTTTCGTTACAAAAGAACAACCCATAAATCCTTACAAAGTGTACACAGAAGTAACAGTTTGGGGAAGAAGAGAAAACTCATCGAGCACTAGTGCACAATCTCTTATTAGCATTCTTTGAACTTGGACCATTTTCCATAGAGAGTGCAGAAGTTGGATGCACAAATTGAATTGGTAATTTAGTTGCTTGGGAGGCTGGCTCATGTTGATTGTTTGCTCCAAAAGAATGTTCTGGCTCTTGTGCCTTGAATTCATGCTTTGGCGGCCTATTTCTAGAGTCTGGAATAGCACTTGTTGCAGCAATTAGAAATTCAGTTGCTTGAGTGGCTCGCACAAGTAGATCGTTTACTCCAAAAGAAAGTTATGGCCCAACTATCTGGAATTCACATGTTGGCACCCCATTTCCAGAGTCGGGAACGGCACCAACCGCAGCATTATCAACAACTGTTGGGAGACTACTAGTAGCTTTTAGAGCATTGTTAGTAGCCAAACTGGCTTCAGCTCCAACATCTTTACCAGGCACGCCCTCAGAACATTGCGTCGTGTTTGCCATTGAAGGAACGGTGCTAAGGTTACTAACCTTATGCAACGCAGTATAGAGCTTGACTTTAGATTTAATGATATCATAAGAACTCTCTCCATTCTAGAATCACCTGCAATATCCTCAATTAGTCAAACACAATATGGCCACGCACGAAGACACCATTTTCTCTTAAGAATCAAGTGTTCTCAAAACAAAATTGTAATTACAAATGTAGTCAAGGTACCCAAAAGTGACAAAATAACAGTACGAGCCGCCAATTGTTTAGCCTCTTTCTTATTTTTACCGGCACCACTAGTGTAGGAAACACAATTGAAAACTAGAGAAGAATTGAACACCGGAAGCAATCCTTCGGGTTTAATGGTGTTGTAAGTAGGCATTTCCATATTCATCGTAGTAGCAAATTCATTCAAGATAGACTTGTAAAAGACTGTGTCCTAAAAAATAATCAAGAACGGTTTAGTTAAACCACTACATCAATAATGACCAATAGTTGCTAAAATAAATAAGTATGGAACAGTTTAAGTGTAATTTTCAGAAATATGAAAAGGAAACAAAATCTTACTTAGCATTAACCACAATAACCACTAGAAAGTTGCACCTCATTTATGCATTTTTTTTTCCTTTTTTTTTTCCCATTCACCTAGCAAGCAATAGTAAAATGCAAGACTTGGGACTAGGTGCAAAAATAAAATATTAAAGGAGTTTTGTTAAATTTTCAGTGACGTATGGAGCATAGTTTGCGACCTTCACTTTGATAGTTTTTTCTTTGATTAAAGGAAACTTGAAAAGTTGTCAAACATTTTACCATAAACATTTCAGGAGCGAGGAAGAAAAAGTAGTTAGATAAAGAGAAAATGCTACATGAGATTTACATTGAGAGGAGAAAAAAAAAATAACCTTGTGAATAAGAGGCAATACATCTGAAAATCCCCGTGGAAATCCATCATAGGCTTTTTCTGGGGTATACACTTGCTAATTAATTAAATACAATTGCTAATTAATTACAATTTCCCTCAACACTTCATTTAAGCAATCTCACCTCTCCTGATGCTAATTAATTAAATATAGTTACTAATCAAAAATCTCAAATTACTTATGCGACTTTTTCGAAATCCCATAAAACATACCTATGCCAATTCACTCACTCTATTCCAATGAAAATTATGGCATGAAAGTATATTCCTATCTCACACACAAATCTAGTCAATTTTGATAAACTAATAAAGATCATATGCTATTCTATCTATGGCTAAACACAAAATCAACTTTTCCAAACAAATTAAGGTTTTCCAAAATCAATCTAATCATTGGCCAGCTAACTAGAAGCAATAAAGATAACATAGAATAAACACTGAATTTCATTAATCTAAATAAAAAAAAGGTGAAAATAACTAAACTGTATGTTGAGTTCCATTGCAATTCTAGACAAAAAAAATTAGCCCATGACCAAATTAATAAAAATCATCAGAAAAATAGAAAAATTCATCTGCATAAATTTAAAAAGACGAAATAAGAGATTGATTCTAAAAATACTGATGATGCTCTCCAATTCTTCTATGCCTTGTTAAAAATCTGTGCAAACTCTTTTTCTTCTTGGCCAATTCTTCTTCTCCTTCCCGTAAGCTTTCTTTATTTCTTTCGAACTCCAATTCATTCCCCCCTAATTTTCTTTGACACCTCTTATTGATAAGCTTAATCCGTTTAGTTCGATGATTTGAGTTTTTAATTAAAATTAAAATGTGATTTTATATAAAAATTTCTTACTGTAATGAGTTTTTACTGTAATAAAATTTAAATTCTAAACTCAAATCGAGTAAATAAACGGAGGTTTAAAAGATATGAAATTTGAACATCAACATCGGAGGAGAATCCGGATTTTTTTTTTTTTTTTTGGCCTCTGCTATCTATATCTTATTAATTAGGCTTATTTGCTCCCAAGATTTGCTGGAGATCAAGCCCAGCCGTTGGGCTTCTTGATTTTCTTCTGCCGAGAACTCTTCAGCTATTGACACGTAGCAGAGTTTGTTACTGGAAACGAGTGTGGAAGAGCTTGGGACGCACGAAATCTTGCTTACTGATGATTTTGTATCATCTTTAACTCATTTTGATATTCAAAAGCCATCTCTTCTATCCTACACAAACAAAGATAACTAATTCTCTTCCCAGCCCAGCCGCCTCCAGCAACTGCACCGATCTTCCGTCGACCACGCCGTCGCAGTTTGAGGTGGGATTGACCCATTTCGAAACTCCGCCTTATGGATTTAAATTTAATTTGAATGGCCAACAAAGCTAAATGGCCATATGGATTTTTCTACCGTCAACATGATTCTCCTTTGTTTTGCCTTTTGTTTGAAATATTTGGTTTTATTCAAGTGGTCTAACTTATGCGTGTTTGTGTATAAAAATGGGAAAGTCTTAAAGCTCGTGGGTAATGTTGAAGTAACACGGAGGAACATCAGATTAAGGAATTGTGTTTTTACATAAGGTTGTTATGCTGTTCAAATTGTTTTGGGCAAGTTTTTAGCTAATCAGTTGGTTTTGTTACAGGGGAAAGTTAGTTTTTTCCTTTTCCTGATCTTTTGGTTGTTTTACATATAAAATTGGTATCGAATTTTGTGTAGCTGGGGAAGTTATTCCGAAAGATGATTCCAAGTAAGGTTGCTTCTTGATTATTCTTCTTTTTTTCCCGAGGAAAAAAAGAGTTTTTGACATTGGTGGTGCTCTATTTTTCTTGTTGAATCCGTTAATGATGGCCATTGCCTTTGGTTAAATCTATTTCTTGTTGAATCCGTTATATACATGGCAGAATTGAACTTTGTAATCAATATGCTTATTTCTTTTTTTCCCTTCAATGAGAAGATATGGATCTTCTTTTATTGGAACGAAAAATTAAGAATTGTGGCTATTTTGGTTCAATATATGGAAATGTTAAATGAAATGACATTTTTGTTCATTCTTATGATATTTGTAATTATTAATAAGGGACGTTTGCGTAGAAATAGATGGGGTGAGAGTTCTTATCGCCGACATCATATACGCCAACTAAATTACCATCGATTGATACATGAGAGTAACTTAGCATGTCTTGAAAGCACTCTTATGGATAGGAGAACATTTGCTATCATATGTAACTACCTTAGAACCATTGGCAATTTGAGGGGAACAAAAAATATGGATCTTGTCCAAAACCATGACTACACCAACTATTTCTTTACGTTGGATGATGAATTTGAGTTAGATTTTCTTCTATCTCTTTTGGAATGAGTTAGGTTGAAGCTTTTGGTACTATATTTACAAACTTGAGTATATGGTCCAATATTTAGATCTTTTGATGGCATCTCTGGAACTTTTATATGTGGTCCTAGATTTACAACTTTTGATGATAGGTTTGGAACCTTATTGGAGTATATGATCTCATGTTTAAAACTTTTGTAAGAACTTTTTAGTATAGAGGATTTTAGTTAACATTTTGAGACCCCTATTATTTGATAATTTTATGGACTACTTGTGTTGTGTTTTATACTTCTTAAAATATTAGTGCCAATGTTATGGGCTAAATATTTAAAAAATATTAGTGTTAATTGTAATTCATTTAAAAATATATATGTTTTTTTAATACATAACATTCTCATGCACAACCAAACACAGTAATGTATTATTTCTGGGAATTTGAGACAAAATTTATGTATAGAACCAAACACAGTAATGTATTATTCTTGAGAATCATATTACTCTCATCACTTTCTCAAGAATATGATTCCTACTGATTACTGCATACCAAACGCCTCCTAAGAGAATAAACTCAAATAAAAATTAATTAAAATGACACAAAACTAAATTAAATTAACTTGATTGAAAATAATATAAACTAAATAAAAATTCTTAAGAACATAGCTGATTTAAATGCACAAAAGTTATCGGCGAGAATTCTAATTTATGGCCATTTTACTTCATAAATTTTTTGAGTTTCCTTACCTTGTTCTGTTATTTTCTAGGACTGCTAAGATTTTTTTTTCCCAATTTGATCATAAAGAGGAAAACAAGTTGAACTTGGTTTTGCAACCCCATTTCAAAAAGGAGCCTAACAATTCACCTGAAACTCTACTTCCTACAAGCTGCATGGTCAGAGATTTACCGCGAAATGGCGAACAGGAAAAGCACAGAAATATCAACATGGTAAGCAAATTTCTAATTTATTTTGTCCCGGATTAATTTTTCATTACTGAAGAATTTTCACATTCAGGTTTTCCTTCTCTTGTTTGCAGGATTACTAAGCCTACATCTCCATCAGAAACGGAGCTATTTGTAAGTGGTTTAAACTAATATGTATCTTTTTGTTTTTATATGTTCTTGAATTCGTCATCTTGAAATGAAATGAATAAGCTCATATTGCTATCTATTTTTATAGTAATAAGTTGACTTGCAATTTTTTCATTCTTGTTTAGGAGCTTATGGCTTTTAGATGTGCTAAAATTGCTTTCTTACTCAAAGAAAGATCCCTGCAAGACCTTTCACATTTTCTCGCGGAAATCCCAGCTAACCCCGAGACTTTCGAGCTTGTAGCAAGATTCTGTGCTGGCTATGATGTGACATTTTCTGCAGAGACTGTTGTACCCCTAAGTTGTCTTGCTCACTACCTAGGAATGACAGAAGCTCACAGAAAAAACAATCTCTTAAAGAAGGCTCTTTTGTTCCTTGAACATAATGTCCTCCCTATTTGGAATGAAACTGTAAAGGCCTTTCGAGCCACCGAAAACATCTTTGACATAGCCATAGAGCTCGGCCTTGTTGCTGTTTGTGCCAACTCCATCATTACAAAGACGATATCTGATCCTCAACTTCTTGGAGATCCAATCAAGAGAGCGTGTTTCAATGGCAGTGAGGATGAAGGCGACGATTTTCGACCAAACGTCAAGCGAAGGCTGTTTGCCATTGACTGGCCATCTGAGGATCTGACAACACTGTCTCTCAGGCTGTATGAGCCACTCATTTGTGAAATGGTTAAGAGAGGAGTTCCATTAGAGTATGTCACTGCATCACTATGCAACTATGTGAGGAAATGGGTCCTTCAAACTCCCACAGGAGCCGATGAAAAAGTTGACATACGCACGAGAAACTCGCAAAGAGAAATTGTTGAAGCAGTGGAGAGGCTTTTGCCTAATGAAATGGGACTTGTCCCTTGCAATTTGTTGTTTGAAATGCTGAGATGTACAGACCTTTTGGAAGCAAGCTCGGAGTGTATGGACAGACTAGAGCTCAGAATTGGGAAAAATCTGAATCAAGCAACAGTCAAAGACCTTTTAACACTCTCCCAAGGCTATGCCGGGAAAGTGCAGTATGATGTCGAATGTGTGAGGAGGATTTTGACGCACTTCTATCGAAACTACAATAGCTCGAAGATGTCAGACCTGATTGCAGTGGCTGAGCTTGTCGAAGAATTATTGGCAGAAATTGCAAGTGACAGAGATTTGAAGATAGAGACATTCACTGCACTAGCAGAGATGTCAAAGCAGGTGTCAAATGGATGCCTGGGAAGCTCTGATGGAATGTACAAGGGGATTGACATCTACTTAGACACGCACAGGGATCTGTTAGAGTCTGAGCGCGAGAAAGTGTGTCAGGTGTTGGATATCGACAAGATGTCCCCCGAAGCCTGTGAGCATGCTGCGAAAAACGAGAGGCTGCCAACAAGGGTGGTCCTGCAGGCCTTGTTTGTTACACAGGTGCAGCTGCGGAATGCCATAATGAAGGAGATTGCGGGGTCTCAAGATGGTCGCGGGCTCGGAGAGGAGGAAGAGGAAGACGAAGAAGCAACATTGTTAGGGAGTGGTGAGGAGAGCATGAGGTCAGACATGGAGAAGATTAGCAAAAAAATGATGGAACTTGAAAGAGAGTGTTGTGTGATGAAGAGGGAGATTGAGAAAGACCGTGGCTTCAGAATAGTGAAGAAGGAAAAGGTGAGCTTGTGGAAAGAAATGAAGAGGAAGATTGGCTGCATCAATATTGTGACAAATTGCAATCGCCCAGGAAAGAAGAAAAAGAAGGTTCATCCATAGGAGGTGGTTTCATCACATATAAATTCCTTGTTTTGTGCATGTTTTGTTTTTCCATCATTTATCAAATATTGGGTTTTCATTGGCAAGTTCCATTAATAATTTCCAATAAAAAAATCCTAATTTTTCTTTTGTGTAAAGAATTTCTTGGTGTTGACATAATTTTGTAGCAATTGATGAGCTAATTTTACTGCAGAATATATGGCATGAAAAGCAAAGAAAGAAGTCCTTTATTTTGTAGATCTCTTTGAAAGACGACAATTAGATTAACAACCGCATAAACAGGGGATCAGATCAGTTACTTACCCTCCTTAGGCATTAGATGAAAATTTTCTTCAGAATATTTACATCATGGTAAATTAATTTGGAAAATCATTTTGTGGAAATCAAAAGAGCACAAATAGAAAAGAAGGTTTCGTCATTTTCTTCCAACTTCTCATGTTAGTACTGCAAAAGACTCTTTACATCCATAAACGGAGATCTGAAAGGAATTGATTACCTCTTAACAACTCTCACACATCACTTTTCTTCAAAAAAATTGATCATCTCATTTCATTGGATGCGAATAGTTAAACCGAAAGCTACACCAACACGAGCAAATGCCGATCATTCAATATATATGACTTGTTTGATCATTCAATACTTATCTTTGCAATTCATATTCAAACTCAAGCCATCGATTTCTCCGTCATGGAAAGAAAATCACCATCATCCATTTGCATAGCCCAATATAACATCCCACGGCATGATCTCCAACAAATACTAAACTAAATCGATAATCTTAAAGGCATTTTGCTTTCTCTAGAGCAATTTGAAGCCTCATTTGCTTCTTGTTCGTGATGATCCCTTGTTGTTGCCGCGCCTGCATGGCCTTCACCCTGGCCTCCCAAAACGACAGCCGGCCCAAATTGAACCCGTCGCTCACCGCCGCCACCAGGGGATTCCCCATTTGGAGACTCGGAGGCCATGGGGTTGGTCATGGGGCTGCCATTTGCTGTCAATGGATCTCGCGTGCTGCCGTCGAATTGCGGGGGAGGATGGTCGGGTTTGAAGCAACGGTACAAGAAGGTGAAGAACCAAAAGGCCCAGGGAACGGAGACAAGTATCATTCCTGCAATGGGATACCAAGCTGAGGATTGAGTTTCGGGGAGAAACATGTAAAGGCCGAGGAAGACACCGCCGGAGACTATGCAGGAGAAGAAGAAACCGGAGACGATGTAGACCCTGACATCTCCTTTCCTCTGCTCCATGTAGAAGGAAAGGTAATACGAGAAGAAAATATTTGTCTGTCTTGTGATTTTGGTTGGAGCCGGGACGGTTTCAAACGAGATATAAATGCACTGCCGATAAAAGCGGGTCTTGGTGTTTCCTATTTGTATGCATTACATTTACGTAAATTCTTTTTTTTTTTAATTTAATCTTTTTGGAAAATTTACGTAAATTCTGATTTCTGAATATATATATTTTCCTCGATCTTTAATAAATTCTCATCTTTCCAGAGCAAGAAACTAGTTTATTAAAAAAAAAAAAAAAAAAAAAAAAGAACGTCAGAAATTGAATTGACAATATCCTTAGAAAGACGTCTATTTGAAACGACAATAACATAAAATTGATTCGACTTTTAAATGAAATAAAAGGCTTTCTAAGAAACGGCAAAAAAACTTAAAAACCACAACCTGTTTAAGCCCTCATTTATTTCACTGGTTTGACTTAGTTCAACTCAGTTCAAACAGCGAGTATAGTTTAAACTCGTATTTTGAAAGTACGCAGTCCGAATTATATTCCGCACTTAAATTAAATTAAACTGTTTAATTTAAAGTTGAGCTCTCCCCTTAAATTCAACTTTTCAAATCGTTTATGAACATGAAAAAAGTGTCCACTCTCTGCTGTTTATACCTACCAAACTCTAATTCGACATCTAAATGTCAATTCAAACTACATTTTAAACTACACAATTTGAATTTTTCTATTCAAACAAAAAAGTTTAAAATCATAAAATTCGAACCAATGAACGAAACGGAAACTTTGAAAAAAAAAGACAAAAACTTAACCAAAAAAAAAAAAAGGCATACTAAAAGGCAATAATTTTTTTATGGTAACTGAAGAAAAAAGAACAATTACTTAAACTTAAAAAGGTTAACAATTTATTATTGATTATAGACATAATATAATGGTCATTTTACACTTGACTTTGCAGTTTAGAATTCAAATTTCCCTGACGTCCAAAACAAAAATATAAAATTAAGGCCCCGTTCACTTCATAATTCGAGTTTAGAATTTTAGTTTTGCTACAGTAAAAAAATTTTTAAAAACAGTCACATCTAACTTTTTTACTACAGTAAAAAATTCTCACATAAAATCACATCTCAACTCAAATTACAAACTTGAATCAACGAAGTAAATGGATAGTTCATCATCAGAATTCGGGATTTTCATCTAAACTGCCACACATATGATATTATTCTTGATATTTGGGATTTCCAATCTTCCCTGTTCTCTTCTCCCTTTTCTCATCTTCCCTTTTTTCTCCCATTTTATCTCCAATTGACGGTGATCACTAAATCCAAACCACTTGGCACTTGCAAAAGCCAAAAATGTCTTCCAAGCAAAGTTTCACTCCAATTGGTATTGATCTAGTTAAAAGTGTTGATCAACATTTAGCTTTGCATTTGACAAGAATAAGGAGGGGAAAAACAAAAACAAAAAAAACAAAATCCTGACAATCAACGACAATAGAATGTGAATAGTTTTTTTTTTCATTTGCTTTCATTTATTTACAATATTCTATAATAACAATAAAAATAAAAATAACAAAAAAAAGAAACTTCTACAGTAGAATCTGTCCTTTTTAATTACTGATATGAACTGCTCAAAGACCAGCAGAAGAAGTTTCATTTTTGTGTCTTCCAGTGGCTCTTATGTAACAGAAAACAGCCACCAAGAAGGTAGTTGCAAGCCCTCCAAGGATCACACCGCCACCAGCCACTGACCTGTCCATTGAACGGTGGTGCTTATTACTCAAGTGGACATTTTGGATTTGGACACCCACATTGTGCTCAATCATTGCCAAACCATTTTCTTCAGCTTTTGAGGCATTTTCTTTGTTTGGGCTTGGAGACGGTGAATCAGAAGATTTGGCCACTTCATTCTGGTGCTTTGCTAGTTTCCTAATCATGGGTGGTTCAGCTTTGGATGGGGTTGGTGCTGGTGGGTTGGAGAATGGTTCGGAGCCAGAGTGAGCCATGGTCTGATGATGATGATGAGCCTTTTCATTAGCCAGGGCTAGACCCACATGGGCATTTGCTAGGATCAAGCACAGAAGGAGGAGCTGAGCCATTTTTAAGCACTAATTGTTGTTTTGGAGATGCTTTGTTGTGTTTGTTTTGTGAGCAATGGAGATTAGATTTTGGCCCAGGTATTATATATAAGTAGATCATATAACCGTGTGGTTTGATGGAAATTTCGTTTGTTAGATTCCAGAAATAGTTTATTCATTTTTATTTTCTATGATTTGATTGTCTGCGAAACAGGGGAAATTCAAGGAGATACACGTGTAAGCATTAGAATATTAGGTGTTCAATTAAGGGAACAGTATCTCTAATATGTTTATTTGTCAAGTTGGGTAATATCAAATTAATATTTAATTAGAACTCATATGTTTGCATAATTAAATAAAGGGTTTAATTTTCCGAAGTTCCTATAGGAAAGGAAAATATTCAGAAGCTGCTTAATTGTGCTTGGTGGATTCTCACTGGATAAGAGTCCAAATTTGATTTGATTTTTTTTTCTTTTTCTTCTTCTCACAAGTACACTGCCAGTTATAGCACAAACCAAATTTGGATGTGAGCAGTGAAGAACGTTTCCATCAAACATTTGGAAATTTTTCTTCTTTTTTTTTTAATAATTAAATTTGGAATTGTTATGAATCAAGTTTGCTTTGTAATTTGCACTACGAAACTCATGAAATGAACTTCAAAATGGGGCTCCATAATTATCAAGTACTACTACTTCAAGAGACAATCCCTCACTCATCTATTAAACAATTTCCTTGGCCCAGACTTACATGATTCATGTCTCTTGACCATTGTGACAAGGAGTACAAAAAAGAAAAATGAAAACGATTTTTTTGTTCAGTGTAAAATAAGAGATAAATGAAAAACGATTTTTAGTCGTTTTTCATTTTTTTTTTTTCGTTTTCTCCTCTCTCGAGTAGAGAGAGACATTCATGTGTTTTTTAATACTGAAAATAATCTATTGATAAAACTACCAAACGCATTTTTAAAAATGATTTATGTCTGAGATTGAAAACGTTTTTATTTTCATTTTCATACAAAAAATAAAATCATTTTAAAACGAGTTCCAAACGCGCCCTAATTTTTTCGACTAGTGCCATTCTCTATTATATGAAAACCAAACTCAAATGGTTGGTTTAAATTTGTTTTTGTCAAAACATTGTAGGCTTGAAGAACAGCAGAATCTGCCTCATGTCACTTAAACATCTCAAAGCACTGAATTTAAGGTGTTTGCTAATCAAAAGATTAATTACAATTTACAAATTCAGGCAAATGTGTATTTCATTCATGCATACTCCATTTACAAATGTAATATTGTTGGTTTGATAACACAAGGAATTGCATATCATGATCTAGGAATATATGTATGTCTGCAAATGCATATATATGCTTGATTTGCATATGGGTATTCATCATTTATTCACTTATTGAAAAATTTGAATCTATAACCTACAATTAATGCAGTGTTTAGGGAATCGGAGACATGGGCCATGGTCAAAAATCATGAATCTAACATGCTCCTATATATTATACAAGTTTTTCTCTTGAGTCTTGAGTCTTTGCTTAATAGAGATTTGTTAAATTGAATACAATAAAAGGAGATATTAGAAGATGCCTATAGGATGGGAAACAATAGGCGAACTAGTGTACTAGACAATTTGGAGAGAGGAGACCAATCACAATTGAATAAAAATTTGATCAGTAATTGTCTCTGCATTATGGGAATTTGATTGTTGCATTTATTTTTATTTTTTATTTTTTTCAAAATTAGACAATTGGTTAGTGAAGATCCATGGCCAGCTCATAGTCCATGCATGATTTTGAAGAAAAAGGTTGGCCATTGCAAGTGGGGCGAAGCCTCTGACCGTCACACCACACAGCCCAACTCCCAAGCCCCAATCCAGGCAGATTCACCAATGAATATGGCAGCAAAGTCCTTTTTTTTTTAAAAAAAATTTGCTTCAAACAAATTGATTTATTTACCACGCCAGCTTAGATCTTCTGGGAATAATACTAAGTTGACATTTGATTCATAGATTCAGAACTATAATTTAGAATTATTTTTATTTTATGTGTATTTTTTATAAGAGAAAAACACTGTAAAAAACTACGAATCATGATTTAAAATAAAAAATAAATATAGGAAACGAATGTCGTATAATCCTCACTATTAATTGCGGTACTAATTGCACAATGTTCGACCGTTCTCACACGGAAGTATATAATTGGCTTAAAAACCATAGCCACAGATGTTATTATTATTATTATTTTCCTAACATTTAAGCCTTTTATTAAAAACATGCAAAAACTTATTTTTCTTTTTTTATTTTTTTATTTTTGAGGTGAAAGCTATAATAGTGCGCATGTCTGGTGCACTACCCATTGTGTTATATTCAAAGGCTCAGCTAGATTTATGGGGTGTGTTTTATATAATTTTAGGAAATAATGGTAAATCCATTTCTATCAAGTGAAGAGTATTTATATACAAACTACTGGATTTGAATAGGATAGTTTCCTAATCTTAACTCATCTAGATAATAGTCTTAAACTAAGGACTATTTACGAGACAGACGGATACGATCATGTTTTGTTAAATAATTTAAATTATAATAATTTTAAACTGTAGTAATTTAAATTGAAAGTTTAAGTCAGAGTTTTCTAAATTAATGTTTGAATACGTAAATAAGTTATAATTTAAATTTTATACCAACCATCATTTTGAATCTTGGGCTGCCATCATTGAGATTTAATTTTTTTTTGGTTCAAATTGCTGCTGGTTTTTATACAAATACAAATAGGGTGGGTTTATCTGTTAGGTTTATTGTCATCTTTTATGCTCTCTCTACACTTTTGTTAAAACTATCCCCCATTTAAAATTTAAAATTGAACTACTACTTTTTACCCACTCTATTTTTTTCCCAAAATTATCCCTAAAAATATTTCTTATAAAACTCATAAAAAAATTGAGATCAATGACCCTTTGGGAACCCAATTTTCATAAATTGTGCCGCAAATTTTTAAAATTTGATGCATGGACGTAATTTTTGGGTCCTTGTTTTTCTTTATCTTTTATTTTTTCACGGTCTATTACAGATTAATCGTAATCTATCACTGATTAACTGCAATCTATTAGTAGTTGATTGTGATCTATTAATGATTGGCCACCAATTTTACCTTTTATTTATGTTCTATCACTAATTGACCGTATTGATTGATTGCGATATATCACTGATTGATTAAAGGGCTATTTTAACCTTGGTCTATTATTGATTGGTCTCAATCAATCTATTATTGATTGACTGCGATTTGTAATTGATCACTTCAAAAGAAGGCCACTGACATAATTTTAGAAAAGATGGGTCATTCACTTAAATAAGAGTTACAAAATGGGTCATCCAACCCAATTTTTCTAAAAAAATTGGGCATTTTACAAAATTATCACAAGTTTTAGACTTGGATTGACATAAGAGGCGACATGAACAATTGTAAAGAATATTACAACTATATCATCACACTATATTTAGAATACCCCATATACCCTTAGGAAACTGGTAGGTCTTAGGCTACGACACCAATATCCGACCAAAATACCCATCAGTATTTAGCCACAAAACCATTATCCAACTGAGAATAGCCGATTGTATCTGGCGGACAACCGCATTATTGACAGTAGTAGTTGCCAGTAGCTACCAACGATCGGCGCTAATCGAGTCACTAGTATTTTGTCAAGACACCGATTGGTATCCATTAAGATACCAGTTATCGATTAGTAACCATCGAGTCATCGCCTGGTAACCACCCAAATTCACAAGAAACTGTCGTTCCCTATGGCTGCGAATTGAAAAACCAAATCACCAAACCAGTATTCGTTGCGATACTGGGCGGTATACCTGAGAAAATACAAAATGAACAACAAAAAATCTACAACCACAAACATAGAGAAATCATTTTTTATGTTTTAAAAAAGTGAATTTCCTGCTCCAGATATCTAGCCAGATTCAAAATCATACTAACAATATCTCGATGCTGCAAGGAGAAGGCAAAATCTCCTCAGAAATGGCAAAGAAGTGCTCCAGAGCTCCATTTCTATGGAGAGCGACCGTGATAGGAAAAGATCTACCTGAGTTGGGACGAAGAGAGATCTCCCCTAGTAGAGATTTCAACGGATCTCATCGATCTGGTAAGAATGCACAAAGGTGATGTAGCATCGCGGAGAAGGAAGCGAGACGAACGAGGCTCACCCTTAGTTGATGTTGAGGGGTCTTGCTTATTTTATAATGTTTCAATGTTATGACTTGTGGAGTTTTTATTTTTCATTTGAAATAATGATGGCTCTAACCTTATTAATTCATATTGTTATCTTGTTTGTTTAATGTTTAGTTAGGTTTGTTTTTTACGGTTCTTTATGTGATTTATATGCTAATGATTTCTCGGCATAAGGTAATTGGATGCTTTCATTAAGGGGGTATTTAGTATGCAGGAATCATATTCCCGGGAAAGTGATGGAGGATAATATGATTCCTAAGATACATTATTGTGTTTGGTTCTATACATGAATTTTTCTCAAATTCCTAGGAATTTTACATTACTGTGTTTGATTGTGCATGGAAATGTTGTGAATTAAAAAAAAATATTAATATTGTTATTATTATTATTATTATTATTATAATAATTATAATTATAATTATAATTATAATTATAATAATAATAATTATTATTATTATTATTAAATCATGGCTTCAATAATGCCTCAAAAGTAGAAACAGTCATAACCTCTCATACACAATAACAATCCATGTTCATAAAAAATATATAATTGATAATTCATTGAAATGTAATAATTTAGTAATCAAATTCTTTGTACATCCGATCTTTACGTGTTTTTTAGTCTTTTCAAAACATGTTTTAATTGTGTTAAAATTAAGAGGTGT